TAATCATATATTTCATTAAATTAACTATATGTTCTACAAGGTATCCAAATATTTTTGTCTTAATTTTGTGATTTTTTTGTGTGCTGTCTGTCTGTCACTTGTTTTGATATTTTTGTTTTGTAATGCAATGACATTCATACTTTTTTATGCTTTATGTTAATGCTTATGAGGTGTTTACAAAAGAATTCTTGCCATATTCTGTATACTATAAGCACACTGATTTTCCGTTATGCATCACACAAAGTGCAATACATTATTTATGTCATTATAAAGGTTTTTATTTCTTTCTCCTTCCATATTTGGGCGAGTTTGCAAGTGAAAATCTTTGTTTTCACACTATTACCAATGTTCAACTGGATTTTAACATTTAACTGAATGACTTATGTAATGCATTAACTGCATAACATAACAATACAATAAACACATATAACACAAAAGATTAAAGCAGGTGTGACTAGATGTGTTTGATAAGAAAAAGTTACCAAATTCAACCAAACCTCCTCCACTTTGTATATCAAATTTTTTTCTCAGAGGTGACAGGTGACAATAAAGAAAGAAACCATCAAATGGCAAAATAATAAAAAAATAAAATAAATAAAATAAAAAGACTCAACCACATAAATAATATAGAGTATGCATCCATGTTCAGTGCAAATCCTACTGCTACTGTGCTTTTTACAAATTCTCAAGACTTACCAGACTCCTTGACCTCACTGAACCTAAAGACATTGAGTTTATTGGACTGTGAAATCATGTGATCATGTGACTGCTTACATGCACAACTAGAATCGGAAAAAAGGACAGATAAAATAGATAAATACGATCTTATCCACTCTGATTTTAATGCATTGATAAAAACTCTTAACAGCATCTACAGTACTTATTTAAATTTATTTATCAAATTATATGAATAATATTGTATTATATGCATTGTAATTCCTAAAATTCAATTTCACAAAATGAATATACTGAAGACATTATTGCCAATGTGTCATTTATTTATAGTGGCAATTTTGTAATTATAATTAATTACGAAATTGCTTCTGTTAGTCCAATATAATAGCATAATTCTGATGATCTCCAATAAATTCTAATGCTGAGTCACAAAGTTCCACTGTTCAGTGCATTTGTAGTGAGTGGATGAGAAAACTTTACAATTTAATTAAACAAGCAGTAAAATTAACAGTGATAAAAGGCCCTTCTGGACATTCATTAAGTCATTAAAAATATTATACAAACTCATCCAGAGGTAAACTTTCAATTAAATTCAACCTGAGTGAACTCTATGGGATCATAACATATAAACTCAACTTTTGTGATTAAAGACACACACACACACACAGACACACACACACACACACACACACTGCTCAGTGGTAGTCAAATATTGAAGAATTTGGAGTGGCATCAAAATATCACAGATTTAATATTAATGTTGGATGTTCTGTGCACTGTGTAGTTATTGAATTGTGTCCTAGAGTGAAGCACTTAACAAAGGTCACTTCTGGGGGAGTGTGCTTTAGGTTATTGTACTATAAGTCTGTATGGATATAAAGTGAGTGCTAAATACCAAGTGAGATAATTACAGGAGAGAATAAGGAAGTGGGCAATAATGGCTATAGGGTTTCAAGCTGAGATAAACCCAGAAACAAGCCACTTCAGATGTAAAATTGAGACAAAATAACGTCATCTGTTTCTGGCCACATGGTTGTTGTGTTATTTTCAATGTTTGTTTAAATAAGCTTTAATAATTTATTAATATTACATATTATTTAATTAAATAAATAAAATAACTTTCTTCATTTATTTTTATACATGCACACATCATACATGCATTCACTGCATGTCCTATCCAGTTACTATACAATATTAATACAACATTTTTAGAGATTTATGCTACTATTCAAAAGTTAGTGTCAATAGGTTTTAATTAAAAAAAAGAAAGAAATTAATACTTTTATTCAGTATGGACTCATTAATAATGTCACAAAAAAAAATATTTCAAGCAAATGCTTTTTTTTCTATTCATTAAAGAATCCTGAAAAAATGTATCACAGTTTCCACAAAAATATTAAGTGGCAACTGTATTCAAATGCTTCTTGAGCACCAAGACTGGAGTAATAATGCTAATGAAAATTCAGCTTTGCATCACAGGAATAAATAAAACATTAAAACATATCAAAATAGAAAATAGTTTTTTAAATCGTAATAATATTTAATCATATTACTTTACTTTTGATCAAATAAATGCAGCCTTGGTTGGCATAAAATACTTTTTTTTTAAATAAAAAATAATGTCACAAAAAAAAATATTTCAAGCAAATGCTTTTTTTTCTATTCATTAAAGAATCCTGAAAAAATGTATCACAGTTTCCACAAAAATATTAAGTGGCAACTGTATTCAAATGCTTCTTGAGCACCAAGACTGGAGTAATAATGCTAATGAAAATTCAGCTTTGCATCACAGGAATAAATAAAACATTAAAACATATCAAAATAGAAAATAGTTTTTTAAATCGTAATAATATTTAATCATATTACTTTTGATCAAATAAATGCAGCCTTGGTTGGCATAAAATACTTTTTTTTTAATAAATAAACAAACTTACAAAAAATCTTACTGACCCCAATCTATTTAATGGTTAAGTATGTTTAAATATAGTATGTTCTGCATTCTTTGCATGCACCTGACTTCTGAATTAATGTTCACACAGGCTCAGTTCTCTCTCCCTTTATTTTTTTTACATCCACTCATCTAATCTGTGAGATTGAGCCGTCATCATGGCCAGAAAGGGTCGACTGCATGTCAGGCTCACGCCAGCTGTCCAACACTGAACGAGTGCACTGCCATGTGCTCTCTGCCGCTGTCAGTCATCTGTCTTATTGCCAAATCTTCTGTAGAACAGTACGTCTTCCCCATCCCAAAACTCTCCCAAAAGATTAGTCTTGCTTCCTGTTATAGTTTTTGTAGTATCCTGATGTCAATTCTGGTTCTTTGAATACCCGTAAAACATTTGAATAATCTGCATTTTTCACAAATGCTTATGAGAATAGCAGATCAATCACTATCTGTGGAATCAATAAAATGAATAAAATACTCAGCATCAAAGTCCTTCCTCTTACCATACTGTAAACGACAGCATTTATCATCTCTTTAATGCTGCAATAAATCCAGGATTTTTCAATTACTTCGAATTTTGGGCTAACCAAATATTAAACCACAAACTACTGAACTGTTTCTGTCAACATCCATTAACATCATGGTCCTGTCCATGAACTCTGACCCCTTCTGCTTTAGGAGTGATTGAAGTCATTAACAGGGTCATGTTTGCTTGTGTGTGATGAAGGCCTTAAAGAACAGCTGTGTTTGAAAAACAAGGAAGATTAAATGCAGCTCATGAATCGGTTTTGTTCATCTGTGCCTTTCTTTCTAGAACTTGCCATGCCTGTGCACCTGGCTGCTGGCACCGGTGAGATTTCTATTAATCACATCCGGAAACCCTCCAACAAGTAACTGTTTCCCAACCAGAGACTGAATTTGCTCTCATAGTTGGGTGGGTGAGGAAGATGCAAAAAAAAATCCTCCTCAGTCCTACTCAGCGTGTTTTGGTGTTACATAATTCCACCATCTGGAACTAGAGTTGCCATTGTGGTATGGATTTTTCTTCAACAAAATCAACTGTTTAACTTGAACATTGACATAATGTCTATTGGCATAAGGTAACCCATTACATGTATCCAAGCTTAGTAATTTAAGGTTAACAGAAGATTGCTTTTTAGTCGATATTTAATGTTGTGTCACGCTCTTGAGTCAATAAAAGCATTTTAAAAGCTTTATTGAATTCAGTACCACATTCTCAAAGTAATATAATAAACCAAGCTGCAAGTCTTAATGTATCTATAAATTAAATATAAATTGGGCAAATGTTTTATTTGATATTAACCAGTCATTTGAACTTATTTATGAGCTGGCAACTAAAGCCCTAGCTGATTTATTATACCACAGTGCTTTTACCACTCGTTCAGGTCAAAGTGAGTTTTTATGCGGTAATATGAGGACATCTACTGGTACACAGAGAAACGTCTAAAACACAATGTATGATTTTTTTTCTACATTAAGATGAATACATTGAAATGTATGTGAACGTATCCACCGTATTTTTTACGTAAATGCAGGCGTGGCCATTTTGGCTACTTGAATGTGCGAGACTTCCGGTGTCATTCCCTTACAGTTATTTTATCTGTGCAAAAACAGTCCAATATGCTGCTTGATATTGCAAACTGGTATGCATGTTATTACGTGGTTTTAATTCACTATCATAATCGCACTGATTTGTTGTGCAGTACTGCTCAGTTATTCGAGTTATTTGCTTATAGCGGCTAATAAATCGGAAGTGTTGCACAGTCAAAGAAAATCGCAAAATAAGGTGGATAATAGGATAGATAATAGGTTAGTAGATAATAGGCTACTTAAAGAAATATATATATATAAAAAAGATATTATACAAGATACCCAGAGACTATAGTGCCATTTATTTTGGCACTACCCTAAATTGTTGTGAAAAGACCTCTCCTAGTTATTGAGAATATTAATAAAGATTTTTCTTTACTTTGGGAAAATGTTTTGTTTGGATTTGTTATATCAAAAAAAAAAAAAAAAAAAAAAAAGTGCATTTACAGAAAAACAAGTTGTACTTCCTTATCTAAACAATTTTATATACATAAATGTACATTCACATGTCAGAAGCCACTGTTTTATGTTTTGCTTGCTGAAATACAGGATTACTTTGGGACTATTTGAACAAGGCTTTAAAAACAGTTGAAATTTGTAAGCGGTTTTATCTTTTGAATGTAATGTATTGTTTAATTTTATACTGTCTAGTAATTTATTTGTCATAATTTATTACATTTTTATTATTATTCTGTATTGTAGTATTGTAACTGCTTTTTTTATTGGTTGTGTGGCTGGGAGAGGGAGTTCACAGACACAAATAGCCGTTGACAAAACCCCGGAGGGTGTTTTATTGTGACAGTAATTGGTATTGGCGGCCCCCAGATGACCAGCCATTGGGTGGGTGTGGGCCAGCTCAATAACTGTAGCCGTCTTCGTTTTGGGCACCACCGAAAGTAACTTTTCCTCCCCCCGCCTCGGGGCGGCACAGTAAAGGAGACCATTTTGGACCAGGAAGTAAGGCACGGGGTGAGGCACGGGCTGTCTGAACTCTCCGTCGACTATCCGCACTTGGTGCCAGCAATTCCGTAGCTGGTCATCCTCACGCGGTTCTCTACCAAATGAGCCCCCAGAGGTTATCGGTTGATAGAGGTTTATAAACGGGTTATTGGTACCAGGCTGGGACTCACCCTCGTGCTCACTTTCATTGGCCATCAGGGCCAATCCCTCCCGAGAAGAACCGGCATGGGGAGATCCGGGACGACGCCCACCTCCAGGGCCCAGGCTCTTGATGGAGCGGAGATGGTGACTTGGCGGGCGGGTACCTGCCGAGTATCCCCATGCACGCAGGTAATTGGGATGGTGGCTTTTCCTCGGGCCAGCGGGATGGCGCTGCCGGAGTCGAGAGTCGCCGTGACTGGTCTCCCATTGATAACAATCCGCAGCTCGGGAGCCCCGGGGGTCACAGAGCGGTGTACTATCCAACCGGCCAACCATGTCCATGCTGCCACTGGGGCAGGTTCCGTGGGCATGGGTTCGTCGGCCGGGGCGGGGACGCCAGGTCTACTTACTGGCCTTGAGGTGCCCTCCGGTGGTCGCCAAACGGGGTTTGCCCTCCGGGGGCTGGCTACCACCCCCTCTCCAGCATCTCTCGCGAAAGCCGCTTCTGCCAGCTAGACTGCTTCCACCAGCTCAGCCAGGCTAATCGGGTTAGGCATTCCCACTGGGTTCCTATACCATCTGGGAAGCGCACGGAGCAGGCGGTCCACCACCACTCTCTTGGCGACCTGGGCAGCCGAGGGTTCGTCTACGAGCAGCCACAGATGCGCAATGCGGGACAACCGGGTGGCCTGGACCCTCACTGGCAAGTTTTCCTCATACGTCCAAGTCCAGAACTGTTGTGCGGCACAGATGGGGGACAGCCCCACTCGGGCTAGGATTTCCAGCTGGACCACGCCGTAGTCTTCGCTCTCGGGAGGAGTTAACGCAAAATAGGCTTGTTGCGCTTCCCCGGTCAGGAAGGGGGCTAGGAGACGGGCCCACTCCCGTCGATCCCAACTCTCTCGGGAGGCCACTACTTCAAATGTATGCAGGTAAGCTTCTATATCATCTAGGTCGCCAAGTTTGGTGGGATGGTGGTGCGCCGACGCGCAGGGATCTGGTAACGGCACACGAGCCGTGGCGGCTTCCCGCAACATTTCCACTGTCTGCTCCGTCCGTTCCTGGCAAGCAGCAAGTTGTTCTGCGAGCTGGTGCTGGCGTGTGGTGATTTCAGTCAGACGTCGGATGATCTCCTCCATTCTGGGCTTCTCATGTGAGAGCGAGCGCGCGCGAGCGAGCGAGCGAACGAGAGAGAGAGAGAGAGGCTGCGTCTGTGAACAAGGACAACAGGTGTTAGTCACAACCAACGATAAAGTGTTTTTACTTCTTCTCCAAATCTAGATGCCTGCATTCTCCACCATTGTGGCTGGGAGAGGGAGTTCACAGACACAAATAGCCATTGACAAAACCCCGAAGGGTGTGTTATTGTGACAGTTGCAAATGGTGAATCAAACAAAAGGTGAATACTATGGTGAAGGCGTGCTCGGTGCTGTAGGGCGGTCCTGTAGAGGGGTGGGTGAACCAGGGTGAATGTGTGGGGAAGGCCGATCATCAGCCGCTGGTCTCTGCAACAAACAAAGAGCACACAGTTAGCGTCCTGCATAATCGAAGATGAAGCTCAACCTCTTTCCCATCTCTTCCGTTTATATATCCTCCTCTTAATGATGTGCAGGTGCTGATGATCGGCAGTCACTCTCAGGTGTGAGGGCTGTTTCCATGGTGACGCTGATTTGGCACTGGGTGACTCGCCCCAGTTGATATAATGTTCATAATAAAAAAATAAGGTGGATAATCGAAAAATATATGTTAGGTAACTAGTCACCATTTCTTTTATTGTTATTATACTTTATATACTATATTATATATATATATACACACACGCACACACACACACACACACACACACACACACCATTAAATAATTTTTCTTCAAATAAAATCATTATAGAGTGTAACACCATTAAAATGCAAATTAGGCTAATCAAGGTAACTCAGCATTAGCACTTTTGAACAGCCTCTTCCTGTGAAGTGAGGGTCAAACTTTTGTGTATTTTAGTTTTTAACAGTTATTATTTTAGGCCTACTATGTTTTTAATTCAATTGATCATGTTATTTATGTTAATTATTTAAATTTTAATTTATTTTTATATGAATAATTAATTAATTAATTTTATATATATATATATATATATTTTTTTTTAAACATTTGGCACTCTTGTTAGATCATTTAACCCCAAAGAGTCATATTAAATCTAGGAGAATATTTAATGACTCTTTTCAGCTTTTCATTTTCAGAATCTTTTACCATTTCCACCTCTAACTTACACCGTTTGATCTTCAAGTTCATTTTCAGGTTGTTGAACATCACTTCAATGTAGAAAAGCCAAGAGCAGTAAAACACCAGCAGAAAACATATTTTAGTTCCGTTCCTCTAGGCTATTTCACATGCACGATGAATCATGATGCATTACGGTTGGACTTTGCCCAGTGTTGGGTGTTAATCATAAATTGGCACATGTTGGCAGTGTCGCTCTTTTAACTGTAGAGGGTGCTAGAGCACTGCTACAGGAGTCCTGTCACTAGCTGCAAGACTCAAACAGCTTATAACTGGGTTTTTAAATAAACTAAGTGTTAATTAACACAATATATGCATACAGACCCATAGACATGTATGCAATATAATAAAACGTCAAGTTCTTATGGATCCGATATTGGGATCTAGGAAACTACCCATCCCTGATTACTCCACAAAAGTGCAACAACGTTGCCCCGCCCTCAATCAACACGGATTGGATAGTCTGTCCTCCCGCAGTTTCGGAAAACGCTGTGATTGGCGCGATAAGTTGTCACTCATTTCAGCGGGGAGTGTTTCGGATCCTGAGAGGAAGTGAATGACTCGCGTTTGCACTTGACGAAGGCAAATCATATTGTTGGGAAAATTAAGCGTGTATCCACCGAATTTCAGCCGTTAAATGAGATTTAAACGGTGGACGTACATCTTCTGTCACGATATGGTTTAAAAGGATAATCGTTTTTGGACTCAGACTTCGTTGCTTTGGATCAACTTGCAGTCACAGGAGGTTGGAGGAGGACACACTTTGCTATTGTTCCAGCTTTCACACGAGCGTGTGTGTGTTTTTGTGCATGTTTGTATTAAATTGCCCTTTGGCTTTATGGCTACGAATTTTGAACCCATTTACGGACTCTCAGAGGATGAAGTAAGTACTGCTAAACTATACCATCTTTAAGACAGTGAATGCCTCCCACTATATTAATATTGTAGGTTTATTGTTTTTCATAACCTGATTTCAGTTTTCAGTTCCATTGTGACAAATTATCAGGATCAATTTGATTAGACCTAAGAGAATTATTTTAGTACTAGAACTATGAATATGAAGGTTAGTCAAGTATTTAAAAGCCAATACTGGCCATCATTTTGTGCTTCCCACATTTCCATAGAATTCAATTAGATATCTAGTGTTAGGAATGTAAAGGAATCATCAAATCCTAACATTTCCCTACGAACACAAAATGCTATTCTTGATTTAAGGCATTTAATGCATACTGTTTTGAGTTTTATGATTGACAGCTCACTTGTCACATATCAGGTTGACATGTCAAGATTTCTGGGTTTGATTTATGCTGTCGTTTTTGGACTCAGACTTCGTTGCTTTGGATCAACTTGCAGTCACAGGAGGTTGGAGGAGGACACACTTTGCTATTGTTCCAGCTTTCACACGAGCGTGTGTGTGTTTTTGTGCATGTTTGTATTAAATTGCCCTTTGGCTTTATGGCTACGAATTTTGAACCCATTTACGGACTCTCAGAGGATGAAGTAAGTACTGCTCAACTATACCATCTTTAAGACAGTGAATGCCTCCCACTATATTAATATTGTAGGTTTATTGTTTTTCATAACCTGATTTCAGTTTTCAGTTCCATTGTGACAAATTATCAGGATCAATTTGATTAGACCTAAGAGAATTATTTTAGTACTAGAACTATGAATAGGAAGGTTAGTCAAGTATTTAAAAGCCAATACTGGCCATCATTTTGTGCTTCCCACATTTCCATAGAATTCAATTAGATATCTAGTGTTAGGAATGTAAAGGAATCATCAAATCCTAACATTTCCCTACGAACACAAAATGCTATTCTTGATTTAAGGCATTTAATGCATACTGTTTTGAGTTTTATGATTGACAGCTCACTTGTCACATATCAGGTTGACATGTCAAGATTTCTGGGTTTGATTTATGCTGTACCATAATTGATATGCTTTTGGATGTTGTTATTATTGACACTGACGGTATAAATGACTAAATGATGGGTGTTTTTTAAATTTTTTATTCTGTATTAGTAATACAGTGTTATTGGTAGCACCACATATAGTTTTCAAAACACTGCCTTGAAGAAACCATGTGGGCCAAAGATGAATGGATCATAATCAAGATTTATCTGTAGTTACTAGCTGAAACCAGTGTTACGTTGTTTCTAATAATGTTACAACAGATTTTGTAGTAACCACAACACCATGTTGTTTGTCATAAAAGGGCCCCGGTGTAACCCCAGAAAATTCAGGTCAACTTTCTTGACCGCCTTAGGAAGCAGGTGTTCACCTATGATTCATTCGGATCCCTGTTAATGCCTTTTTTTAGTCATTACTGCTTCTCTTCGTGGCGTACTAGATCTGTCTTTTAGTTTTTAATGCTAATGGTGATGTAGTTCAAGGCCACGTGTTCATGGGTGTAAATATCAGTGAAGTTATTTTTTTTTAATGTAGGCTAGGTTTTGATATTTGAGTCCAAAGGAGAGATCTGAGTCGTGTATTACTGTCTATACAAGTTGACAGGTACCTATTTAAGTCTGTATCACATGAAAGTTGCCAGTCAGCAATTTCTAGAATGATATGCGATCTAGCACGTATATAGCATACCAGGTTCTTAGGTGGAAAAGTACTGAAGAACTTGCAGTCCAAACCCTGAAGCTGTAACCTAAGAGTAAAGTTAATTAATAATTTTAAAAAGTTTTACTAAGGTCTTGATATGTTTAATGTAAACAAAGAGAGGAATGTTACTAGCTAGATGTTCATTAGCAGGTTAAACGGCGGATGATCAAAGTATGTTCGTGTTTGGATGTTAAACAGCAGGAGAAAGACTGAACATCCCTTGATTCACTCAGTAAACTTGATTTGATTAAAGTGAAAATTCACCCTATCCATTTTCTAAATGGATGTTATAGATCCAATTGTGAGCGGTTCATCCATGCATATGGCAGCTAATTGTAAAATGTCATAAATGGATCTTCCTGTGAAACAATAGACTTTTTTTCTCGTGAAGTATGCAGGTCTTCTTCAATCATCTAGTCCACTTAAACTCATTTCTTACAAAAGTCAATTTATACAATTGACTACAAGCTTGCATTCAGATCTGCCTCCATCTAATCAAAAGCTGATGGCTAGAACCAATTCCCCACCCTCCTTTTTTGTATACATCCAATACAGAATAAAAGATCTTTCACTACTTCTGTTATGTCATTACTTTAAGTAATATTTTCTAGTCACAAATTAATAAATTGGCTGATGTTTTGCCATTTTGACTTCATCAACTTGAGAAATAACCATGTCTGCTGGCAAGTTGCTGTGCTGTTGTTTTCTAGTAGTAACGTTCCTTGGCGGACGGCACATTGTCACTTTTTTAAGCATAGTGTTGTGGTCTGCTTAACTTTGTTGTGTCTCTAATGGTTTCTGTTGCTTGTCACAGGAAATCACCAACTCTAATTAAAAATTAATTATATTTAGTCTCTGTCACTGTAGAATTGCTGCAGAATTGGTGTTTACATGCACAATTTTCATCAGTTTTAATGAATTCAATCCAATTTCAGATTCTGAAGTTCTGTTTCTGAATTGTTTATATGTTTGATTCACATATTCATTTACATATGAATTGCATGTATTCAGAACAAAACAGAAAATCATCACAATAATGTAGCTAATCGGAGCTGTCATGAGCAAAAATACGATTTTTGCCATGATGAAATATATATATATATATATATATATATATATAAGCACTTTATATTACTTATTTTGTTATGTTAGTAAGTATATTAGTAGGGTTTTCAAACTTTTTGATGCCAGGGCTTCCCAAGTGAGAAAGTGTGAAAAAAATGCTGTCAAGCGATTAATCGCTAATAAAAGTAATAATAAAAGTTTTTGTTTACAGTACATAAGATATGTACGTGTGCTGTGTATATTTATCATGTATATATAAATACACACACATGCATGTATATATTTCGGAAAAATATGTTATGTTTATATATTAAATATATTTATTTATAATATAAATTATATTAATATAAATATAGACATGTAAATATTTTCAAAATATATTCTGTATGAGTGTGTATTTATATATACGTAATAAATATTCACAGAACACGCGCATATATTATGCAAACAAAAACTTATTTTCTATGCGATTAATCGCGATTATTCGTTTGACAGCACAAATATATATATATGTATATATATATATATATATATATATATATATATATATATATATAATATTTATTTATTTAGTAAATATACAGTGTCCTCCACTGATCATTTTGTAAGTTGTAAGACATAATACACACATTTTTAAGTAAAACATTTGTAAACATACTCATCCCTGTACTGCATGTGCACAAGGTATTTTTGAATTGAGAAAACAGTTTTTGTTTTTACCCTGTTGATCGGATTATCTCAGGTCTACACTATTCCTTTTAATCCAATCAATTTTATTTGGATCGATTGAGGTGTTTACATGAAGGCTTTTTAGTCCGACTGAGCCGTCAATCCCATTATAAACTGATTATTTGGGTACATGTAAACGGTGTGTGTTTGGCCCTTAACAGAAGTGATACTTCACGTAAGTGTTAGTTTATTTGAGCAATTTTGGTTGTAGTTGAATTGAAATGGTATTACTGTTATACACAGGGTTATACTGGCAATCTCAATAGTCAAAACAAGTTATTGATTCATCACAAGTATTTTCCCTCCAAAGAACCATCATGTTGGTGTGTTATCCCAAATCATTGCACGACAGACACGCACAACACACAGAAGACATGCATCGCTTCATTAGTATGCGACAAGAATCTGTCAAGTTGGCTGGGACTCAGCCCTGTCAGCGGGTCTGTTTACCACACAACATTTTCTCAGTCCTGTGGGATCCCATCACTCGCTCCCTAAGTTCCTGTCTCTTTGCTGGGCTTGATCATGCTTTACTGCTCCCATAGATCTCAGTTCCCAAGACACTGTCTGTACACAGGAATGACAAGCTCTCCCATAGGAACAGTCCGGCAATTCCGATAGACCTTTTATTGACAGAACTCTTGTGGATCCCCATTTGTTTTATTTCTGTTGAGCTACCTTACAGATTTATTGGATAGCCTTGTATAGATTAGACATGCACAATTAATTGCTGACCAACATTTTATATATGCACTTACTGTTCAAAGTTTCGGTAAGATTTTAAAAATGTCTTTTTTGAAGTCTCTTACTCTTAACAAGGATGTGTTTGTTTGATCAGAAATACACTAAAAACAGTAATATTGTGAAATGTTATTACAGTTTAATTTTGAAATGTAATTTATTCCTGCTGTAAAGCTGAATTGTCAGCATCATTACTTCAGTCTTCAGTGTCACATGATCCTTCAGAAATCATTCTAATATGCTGATTTGCTGCTCAAGAAACATTTCTTATTATCAATGTTGAAAACAGTTGTGCTACTTAATATTTTTGTGGAAGCAAAAAAAAAAAATATATATTTTTTGAAATATTAATGTTTTGATTCCTTGCTGAATCTTGAACGTACCGTGCAAATAGTTTTTCATCCTGGCTGCTTTTCACTAGTTTCCATTCACATCAACCACATTGTTACATTTGGTCTTGGAATTTTAAATTTGAGGTCTATCTTGGCTCCATAGATGTTTTTGAACACAAAAGCATGTCTTGTATAAAATTAAGGTACAGTGTAATGTGTGAATATTAAATGTGTAATGCATACATTGCTTGTTAATCTTCTGGGAGTATCCACTTAAAAAAACAAAGTACATGAACAATGTTAATTTACCATAGTAAGTTGGGTCTGCTTGTTGATCATCAAATAACATTATTATTCATGTGCAGGCCTTCACCTTAGGTTGGATGTATATTATTGTCAAAAAAACCCCCAAAAAACTTTAAATCATAATGTTATGATTTAATGGTCCCTAGAAAGTTTTTTTTTTTTGACAATAATATACATCCAACCTAAGGTGAAGGCTTAGGTTAGATGCACTTTCACAGTTTTTATTGTTCAATAATCTGATGATTTGGCCTGTGAATGTGCTAAAATGCATCTGGTTTACATTGAGGGAGGACACGCAAACGTTTACTCGATTACGCACTCACGCTCGTCATCATGAGCGTGGAATGTGATACAGCGACATGCTGTCACATCATCTTCATTAAAAATACATGAGCTGTAGTTGCAGCCGAATCATGTTTTCTCAATCCGTGTGACATGCTTCTGTGCTGAGGTCCCAAGATGGAATTAGAAAACCTAGGAACCATCAAACCACAGCCAGATGCCACAAAATCTACCAGCACTGTCAAATATAAAACAGTTTCCTCTTTTGATAGATGTACTACTTTATTTATCCCCAAGTGGCATTATGCAAATGCTCATATAGTGCACTTCAACAGTAATTTCTATTTTGATGGCAGCCAGTTACCAGAAATTAGGTGTTTTCAGTGTTTTAGATGTTTTAGTTATTTAAATTTAACAATGCTCTCTCTTATTGAATCAGTGTGGATTGCACATTCTCTTTTACAAGGTCAGCATTTGGATTTATATTTGAAGTATTTGATGCAAAAGCTTTTCAATTTGTGTCCATTAACTCTAAGTGGGGAAAGAATCACGAGAGTAGAGTGCTTGTTGTTTAATATTTCAGAATGTGCCATTTATTTAATGGTGTTTGCTGAATTTTTTGAATTTGGAATTCAGGGCATGGAATGTCTTGGCGTTGGAATTAGAAAGTGTGCTGAATTCTGTGTGCAATTCAGACAGCAACTGAGTTACCAAGTAGAACTCAACAATAGGCCATAATTAAGCATTCCGCACATAGCAGCCACATGCTTACAGAAGGTCAGGGGCGCTCTGGGTCCTGCCTACGTATCCCATAGAGCAATCTGGGATAAAGTATACACTTTTCACAACATTACTCTTTTACTGTATTTGTTGATCTAATATATGCAGCCTAAAAGCATAAAGAGAGTTCTTTAAAACTCGTAAACTAGATGAATAAATTCCTTACTACTAAAGTGAGTTTTATTAGTTTTGGTTCGGAAAACTGGATCTCACCGGTATTGATGTGCAAAGTCTACTGTTCTCTATTTTACACTTACTACAAAAATATACATAATCTGTCAGAAAGACTAACTCTGCTGTGTTCTAACAAATTTGCGTATGCTTAGAATGATGGATTAAAAAAAGCAGCGATTTTGACTGTGAACCGTTAACATTTTATGTCTAGCTCTAATGTTTTTTACTGTTGTTTTAAATGGCATTTAAGACGATATTGTATTGCAGTCCTCCCATTAGAACGACCCCAGCAGACCAAGGTTTCCCACTTGAGACCTGATGATATATGACTTTGGAAATACCAAACCTGTCATTGAACTAATCGCTGGGTGTGTACAGGAAGCCAGTCAGAGCTTCGGCTCTCTAAGAGGCTTGTGGAATCTTAATCCTAATTATCCAGATTGACAGCCACAGCCTGAGAAATACTTTCCTGCCATCTTACGTCAACGCGAAATAAAATCAGCTGCAGCCCTGAGACTTTATTACTATATCACTCAAATATGTTAAATAGGGTTGCAGCAAAGCCATTCCTTATTTATAGACTTGACGAATTGAGGCGGTACAGTTTTGTTGACGTAGTAAACATACCACTTTATTTTGATTGCATGGGTTCTTTGCTGATGTTACAGTCAACTCTTCGTTGGAGTTTGTTGTGGCTGACGTAACCTGGTGGTGAAACATCTGAGCTGGTAACCAAACGATTGTAGGCTCAAATCCTGATCCATCAACCGCCTTGTTTTTGAGCAAGACTTTTAAGGTCATGTTACTCCAGGGGGACAGAAGTTGCTTTGGATAAAAATTGATAAAAATCTTTATTTATTAGTATCTTTATTAAGGATGCCTTAAAGTGATCAAAAGTGACTTTAAAGACGTTTATAATGTTACAAAAGAAATGCTTTTTGTTTTGTTTAGGTTTTTTTGACACAGTAACTGGAATAAAGTGTTGCAGCCATTTTCCTTTTTTAGTAGTTTCTTGTGTCCTCTTCTAGTCCCTCTTGCAGCCCTGGCCTTCATCAGCAATACCAATGAGTTATCATTTCCGCTAATGGACCAAACCCAGCCATCATCTCTGCCTGACCAATTAATCTCCTGAAGTGTCTGGAGTGTGTAAAGTAGGCAATTGAATGGAGTTAGAACGGAAGGTGGGTCTTGCTTGCCCTTCTGTAGTGTTTTATCTTTTAACCTCAATTAGAGAATGGTGGGACATTCAGGGAAATAATCACTGCCTGACCAATTAATCTCCTGAAGTGTCTGGAGTGTGTAAAGTAGGCAATTGAATGGAGTTAGAACGGAAGGCGTTCTAGGTGGGTCTTGCTTGCCCTTCTGTAGTGTTTTATCTTTTAACCTCAATTAGAGAATGGTGGGACATTCAGGGAAATAATCGTAATTACGAGCGGGAATGTGTACCGCCATGTCAAGTATTATCTGAGAGCTTCAGTTTGAGTTGAGTCTCAAGGGTAAGGATTTTTTTTGTGTTATTGAATTATGTGAGGAAGAGGTTTTCGCTCCGTTATAATTCATTACAAGGGGCAAAAGAGTGTGTGTTTGAATGCATGCAAAAGGAAAATGTGCATTTACAATTCTTTCTAAAATGGCCTGCAAGAAAGGATATGAATTATTGGTTTCAATTAGTGGTCAATGCCACTGTGATTTCTGTTTAAATACATATATGTGACCCTGGACCACAAAACCAGTCATAAGGGTCAATTTTTTGAAATTGAGATTTGTACATCATCTGGATAAAAACGCTGGATAAATAAGCTTTCTATTGATGTATGGTTTGTTAGGATAGGACAATATTTGGCTGAGATACAACTATTTGAAAATCTGGAATCTGAGGGTGCAAAAAAAATCTAAATATTGAGAAAATCGCCTTTAAAGTTGTCCAAATCCAGTTCTTAGCAATGCATATTACTAATCAAAAATTAAGTTTTGATATATTTACGGTAGGAAATTTACAAAATATCTTCATGGAACATGGTCTTTACTTAATATCCTAATGATTTTTGACATAAAAGTAAAATTAATAATGTTGACCCATACAATGTATTTTTGGCTATTGCTACAAATATACCCCAGCGACTTAAGACTGCTTTTGTGCTCCAGGGTCACATATGTGGGAAACTTCTTTGGTGTTTCTCTTGTGAAGAGTTGTTGTGTCATCCTGAACTAGTGCTTGGGCTATGAACTATAATGGTTAATTCATAGGAGTGATTGGAGTTGAAAGCTAGTGCTGTTCTTTCTTGGGCCGTTTATTTTCTAAAGGTGTGTTGTGATACTACAACAAATTCTGGTGGTGTGATAATGTGATTTAGGGTGAGGATGGATACTGAACATTGTGGACCTGGATGAGGGAGTGTCTTTAGTGTGCAATGAGGGAAGAGCTTCTTCATGTGCAACTGGTCACTGATTTCCCTTAATGTCCTGGAATGTCCTTTTATGAAAATTTCAAAATGATGTGAGATTCTCAAGGTGGTTAGTGTAAAAACTGACTTTGATGACCTATAGGCAAACCAGAAGACCTGGAACTGTTTGGTTTGGTTCCAGGCCTTATTGTGAACGATTCATCAGTGCACGATATTCTAAAGGTAAAAATATTCTGAAATGCTTTCCCATATGTTGTGCACTACCTTTTAAAAGTTTGGGGTTGGTAACTTTTTTTCTATATATGTATTTTTGAAAGAAGGCTCTTACCAAGACTGCATTTATCAAAAATACTTTTAAAATCGTAATATTCTGATATATTTTTACAGTTTAAATAACTTTTCTATTTGTATAGCCTATAGTTTAAAATTGGATTACGTTTTCCTGTCATGGCAAAGCTGAATTTTCAGCATCGTTATGCCGGTCGTCACATGACCCTTCAGAAATCATTCTGATATGCTGATTTGCTGCTCCAGTAACATTTCTTAATATTATCAATGTTGAAAACAGTTGTGCTGCCATTGATGCAGGTTTTTTTTTTTTTCAGGATTCTTTGATGGATAGAAAGTTCCAAAGATAAACAGCAGTTATTTAAAATGGATATCATTTGTAATATTATAAATGTCTTTAATGACACAATCAATTGAATGCATCTTTGCTGAATAAAAGTATTTATTCCTTAAAAAAAATCTTACTGACTGAACTCAAATTGTTGAACAGTAATGCATCTAGTATTATTTTTCAAATTAATTATTTTATTTTTAAATTTTTGCCATGAATCGTTTTGTTGAAATGGCTTTAAAAAAATGAAATGACATGAGCCAAAGAACAGCAGTTATTTAAAACAGATATAATTTGTAACATTATAAATGTCTTTATCAATTTTTAATGCACCTTTGCTGAATAAAAGTATTAATTTCTAAAAACAAATGTTTTTAATTATTATTATTACTATTTTTATTTTTTTTTTGCCATGAATCGTCTGATACTGAAATGGCTTTTAGAAACTAAAATAACATGAGCTTTATCATATTTCCCAAAGAAAAACTTCAGAAAAGGTTTACAAATTAAATTGAATTTTCTTCATACCAAATAGTAGCTTTCTGCAAAGACATCTAGCCTGTGTTTGCATTTTATATGAAAAGCACAGATCTGTCAGTCTGAGCTACGCGGTGGGATGACAGTAACACCCAAGTACCTGTCAGGATATAACAGCTTCTCCCATCTCATCCAAATTGTATTCGTTCTGTAATAATTAGGTCATATACGACAGGCACAATAAATACAAACCGTCACACTGGTTGTTGTTGTTGTTTGCCTCGGCTGCACGAAAGATGCATGTCTTGTGGTAATGCAAACTGTCAGACATAAATAGAAGGGGAATTTCAGAGAGCAGAAGTGGGTAAAGCGGGAGAAGAGGGCCTTTCTTACCCTCTACAGTGCGTCATTTCTGGACTGGTGAGCTTTAAAAGCCGTGAGGGCGAATAAGATGCTCATTGTGTGATCGTGAGCGGGATGAATAGCTATTGAAAGCAGGCCGAGGTGATGTTGGGGGCGGGAGTGGGAGTCATGAAATGGTGGTCTTATCTATTGCTGGAGAGCTTTTGAAGGCCAAGCTGAGAACTTTAGACCACCTTATTCAGTCATAAGACAATACGCTGGTGTGCTTGATCTAAAGGCCTTGATTTATAGCTCCCAAAGGGATTTGTTTCTCACCGATGCTATACCATTAAAACCGTTCCGTCTTAGTGTCCATCAATAAACACAAAAGCTTTCTTGGCTGCCTCTTCCTTCTAATTTCTTTAAGATGCTCCTTTTTCATCTTCTCCTGGAGGTGAAATTAGGACGCTCTCACAACTTGGACTCAGCTTAAATTTAGGCTACGGGGCAGTTTTTTCTGTCTTCTAGACTCGTACGAGGTATTGATTTATTCATGATGGTCTTTTCTGTGTGTGTCATGTTTTGCAGAATGAATCTCGTATTCTTCGTGTCAAGGTCATTGCTGGCATTGACCTGGCGAAGAAGGACATCATCGGTGCCAGGTAAGGAAGAACTAAAGGATGCGTCCGGAGAAGCGGTGAACTATCCCACCTGCTCAGTCTGTTCGCTCGTTCATTAGCAAATGCAAATGTTGGAACCGCTTGGATGTGTGTGTGTATTTCCTCCTTTAGTTATGTGCCTGAATAACTAGCTGCAGTCTGTGAGTCTTTCTCTCAATTTAGATAATAGACTTATCCAAACAAATGATCTGTCTGCCAGGAAAGGAGCACAAAGGGAAAATGCTTGGCTGATCTCATTTGTGCAGTATTGCAAGTTCTATTTATTTAACTTTGAAGTTCTCAGGTTCTAAAGTCAGAGGTCAGAGAGTGCATAAATTACTCGCAGTGTCAGTTCTGGTCGTATCAATTAAATGTGTGTAAGTTTGATGTCAGATGGGCGTTAGAGTAGATTGCATAAAGCTGACGTAATTTTATAGGCTATTCACAGCATTTCATGCTAGCTTTGCACTAGGGTTTCACCCTTTACTCAAATTATAGCAGTCAATATTAATTGCAACCAATGAAATGTCTTGATTTCTAATACTAATTTTGATATGTTAGCATAAACAACGAAACTAATAAATTTATCATTAGTTCATTTAAAATTATTTCAAATATGTGCTAATTATTACAAAAAAAAATTACAAAATCCCAAAGATATATATATATTTATTTCTGAAACATCTTTCACTGAGAAATTGCTAGTAAAGAAACCGCAAGTAACACTTTGAATTAAACATTAAATTCTGAATTAGAAATACAAGTCCAGTCTTGTAAAATGCACACTTCAAAACACGTTTTTGTCACGTACTTCAGGTATCTAAAAGCAGATTTCAAAAAAGTTTTGTAATATAATACAAAATGTTTGTACAACAAAAAACAGTGAACTACAACAAAAGGACTTTCATACATGCATGTATTAGGCAATCATCAGCTAAAACAGTTTACAGTTATGGCCCTGGAAATGCCTGGCAATGTAATTCAAAAAGTCATTTTGTCCATGACTGTCATTTATCAGACACCATTAGTTAGCTAATAAATAACATGAGTTAAGGTAGAAAATGATAACCACTTATGTTTACAGCTGTCCAAAATGCAGTGTCACTTTACTACGGCTATTAATATTTCCCTACTTTGGACATTTGCAAGTTATATTTATACCATACAATTGTAATACACTTGCAGAACCTCATAAAAATGTAGCTTTAAATGCTGCTAAGATGTCTAAATAAATTGGGTTTTGTTTTTATTTCAGCTTCAGACTTGTGTCTTGTAGGAGGCTCAAGGCAGCTTTGGTATCAAATTAACCTTTGATACTAAACCACTTAAATTCTCAGAAGGCTTAACAATTGACACCTAGTCACAAATCTCTAAGAGTTGAACTTCAACTTCAAAGTGGAGGTGTCTTGGCCCTCTGTAATGTGTAATGACTATACCACTCAGATAAATACAGCCTTATCTGCTGTTCCCCATAATGGACTTATATTTGTTTTTGCTGCTTAACTGACCAGTGTATTTCCTTCCTTTTTTCTCTCACAGCTAGTCACCTCATTCAGTCCAAGACAAAAAAATGTCAGTCAATTATTAGCTTTTTTTTGTATGGTGTATTTGGGAAGGATTCTATGCATGTAGCTATGAAAATTAGAAAGCAAAAAAGGTAGCCTTGTGGTTAGTGCATCAACATATAGCGCAACTGTGCTCACGGTGACCCAAGTTCGATTCCCATCTCGAGGTTATTTGCCGATCCCCGAAATATTTTTGAAGTCTCTTATGCTCGCCAAGGCTGCATTTATTTGATTAAAAATACAGCAAAAAAATTATATTTGTGAAATATTGCATTCGTTTTATATTTTAAAATATTTTATAGCAATTTATTTTAGTAATTTAATTTAGTTGTGCTGTTTAATGTTTACATTTATACATTTCTAATTATTTTCCAGATTCTTTGATGAATAGAATGTTAAAGGGGTCATATGATGCAATTAAAATTTTTCCTTTCTCTTTGAAGTGTTACAAGCTCTTGGTGAATAAAGAAGATCTGTAAAGTTGCAAAGTCTTAGAGTAACACTACAATGCCGGCTGTTCTGACTCACAGACTGTAAGTAGGTTTTCATATTTAAAGGGTTTGCCACTGACGATTCAAACATGAGTTTTGGGCAGTGTAGAGTAGTGCTTGTTGTTTGTAATTTCTCCGATCACAAATGCAGACATGGTTTTATGTTTACGCGGCGCGATGAAACACTAAATACACAAAATAATGTTCTTTTTAGCAACATCATATGACCCCTTTAAAAGGAACAGCATTTATTTAAAATATAAATATTTTATAATCTCTTATTCTCTTATATATTTTATAATCTCTTAATGTGTCCTTAATTTCCTTCCTCCTAAAAAATCTTTACCAAACCCCCCTCTCATGTCAAAGTTGTGATCGGTGTTTACTGTCCCAGTGGATACAAAAGCGAGGGCTCTTACAAATGTTAATCTTGGCTAGTTGTCAAAATTGGTACTACAGCAAATTGGTGGTAACTTGATATTAGAACAATCTCTTTAAAATCTTCAGCTGTTCTCCAGCTATTTTCTTATAATGTGTGTATAGTAACCATTGTGCTGTGGAAACTCTTGCTGCTGCCATAGAGTTAGGATAGTTTTGTAACAGTCAAATGTGAAGACTCGTCTAGATTAAATAAAACAGGCCATGCCTCTATCAAAAAAGTTATTCTTACTGAAAAGAGGAACTTCCTTTCTGTCATATAGAGGATTGATTTCTCAGATTCATTTTCTGTGAGTGGTCTGTCTCCTCATATTAACCTACGCTGTCAAAAAAATTAAAAAACATTATACAGCACATTTGCTGCAAAACCAGTTTTTGATTCAAACAGGGAAAGAAAGTGATGTATAGAATGGCTTGTATTTGTCTTACTCATTTCGCTTTCTCAGTTTTCTCTTTCTTTCTGTCTCTCTTGCTCCTGTGGTGTAGACGTCACAGCTCCTTCTGTTCTAACTGTGCTGATTTACTGTAGGCTCCATCAGACTTGTCTGCTCCAATCACAGAGTCCTGGAGAGTAGTTCACCTGTCAACATGAGTGTTTGTGTATCCCAACATCCTATTCGCCACATTCTAATGCCATGGGTATCTCCTCTATGGGCAGATTGCTTGACGGCACGAGTCTGTATCGGAGTCTGGTGTGTTTGCTTCATGAGTACCATGCTACATCTGTGCTAATTAAAGCAAAATACATGCAGCTGAGCAAATGGATGCCACAAGGCACCATCACAGATGTTTGAACGGAGAAAGTGAGGAGGATTTGAATCGACACAATCTGTAGGCTCCACACAGAACATCTCCCTCATTTTCTACCTCCTTTGACCTAGATGACCCACTCATGTAATGAAAAGCAAAATATACCTTATAAAACAATTAATTATCTTTTATTTGTATTTAAATTTATATCTGTATTTTATTATTTTTTTATTTAATAAATGCCCATAGCACAACATCACTGTAGTTTAGAGGAATATATGTATTCCCCTTGTTTAAAAGCCTTAAATTTGTTAACATCCGCAAGAATTTCTGAACGTTTTTGGCTATGCTGAAATCAGTCTCTCAGAGAGCCTCCCCTCTGTAAATGATAGCAAAAGCTGACCTCTTATTAAAGAAAAAATAATAGAATGGAAAGGAGCATGATATCCGGTTTATTTCAGATTTAAACGTGATATGAAGAATATTGCTTTAATTTAGTCTTGGCAGAAGGTTCTGCAGAAAAGTGAGTCCTGTTCCTATTTTTTAAAATTTTTTGGCAGTAAAGAGCTAACAGTAAAGAGTTATTTTTCTTGGCAGAAGGTTCTGCAGAAAAGTGAGTCCTGTTCCTATTTTTAAAATTTTTTGGCAGTAAAGAGCTAACAGTAAAGAGCTATTTTATTTTATTTAATTTTATTTTATTGTATTTTATTGTATTTTATTGTATTTTATTGTATTTTATTGTATTTTATTGTATTGTATTGTATTGTATTGTTTTTTTTTCTCAATTAATTTTTTTTAATTTTATTTTATTGTAAAGAGCTAAAATTAAGTGTTTCACAGCTTTTACTTAATTGGTATGGATTTTATTTTTATTTTTATTTTAATTTTATTTTTCTTGCACTAATCTGAACAAAATAGATTTTTTGGTAGCAAATAAACATAGTCTGTCAGTCTGTTTTTGGCTTTGCATTCTTTTATCTATATATTTTTTGGCTTTGCATTCTTTTATCTATATATTTGTTTCAGTAATATTTTAGTTTTTGTTCATTTTTGTTGTTATCCAAGTGTTCTTAAACCTCGTGTTGTCATTTGACAGCAGATTGCTATCAGCCTTAAAAGTCCTTGAAAAATGTCAATGAAGCTGCAGTTTTTGCACATGCAGTCGATAATCCTGTTCACCTTTAGTTTACTCGAATCAGCTGAGATCAGTGAGTTGAGAGTGTTCTCTGTCTCAGAGTCCCCCTTTTGATTTGTAATTTCCTCTGTTCCCCTCTCATTTCAGAGGTTCATTTTTGCACACAATCAAGTACCGAGCCAAGTCCCCTGTGACAAAGTCGCCCATCTCTATGGTAACGGTGTGCACTGATAGTGTCCCTATGACACCTGAGCGGCTCCGTGGCCTTTAACACGAGAAAATGGGACAGTGATTTGGGCGTCTGGGGTTTCTCTAGGGCTGGCCAAGAGAATCAAAGATCCAAGAAATTCCAAAGCAGACAGATTTTTCTGACTCTTGCCTCTGTCTCCAGGCTATTCTCAGAACGATTTAGCCATTTTTGTCAGTTGTTTTCTACGTTTTTAGATTCATACACTTTACTTTTACATCTGCACACATAAATGCGTCACTCATCACTTTTTTTGATCGTCTCCTGGAAATTACATTTCCATTTATAGACGGAGAATATCCATCTGGTCAACATGCGTAATATGTTTACAAAAGCGAGAGCATCCAGTCTCAAAAGGGGTATATTGTTTTATCCTAATCAAGAAAGCCGAATCCTTGTATAAACATTCAATTAGAGGCGACGGGAAATCCAGACACTGCAATTAAAAACCAGAGAAGGCCGTTTTCAGATGCACAACAGACTAAAGAAAAAGAAAGGGAGCAAAAGAACTGTTCCAGAAGCCAGTGAATAAAAAATGCTGAGCTTGACTTTCAGGCTAAAACTTCATTTGCATATTTCCACAAATTAAACATAAAGTGCATACTGCTGGTGATGCTAAATTACAGGGTTTTAAGTAACAAATCAGCTAAAGTGTCAATATTGGGTTGCTATGATATCATGAGATTGTTTCCAAACTACATAATTTAATAGGTAACGACAGTTTGAGACTGGAAATTGGGATTCGACCATACTTTCACGTGTTTTCCCCCTAGCATGAACAAAAACGTATAGATCTTGTTATCTGTATATGTGAGACCATGCTGTAGTCGATGTAGGGGAAAGGTGTCAGTTAGTATTATAAACCAGCATGAAAACACCGACTAGACCCTTACGGAGAGTAAACCACCTGGGATTCAGTCAAATCAGCAGTTCCTAGCAACATGGCTTGCCGTTTTTACTTTTTCTTTTGAAGTTTTCTGTAAATTCAGTAAAATTCCGTTGAGTTCTTAAAAGGACCATGACTTGAACTTTGTGTTTGTTGTTGTGAAAGTCTTCACATCTTGTCAATGTAATCTCTTTAAGGTTTCAGGTGTGAAATTTCATATGGAAACATAGAGTGCGTCTCAGTCAGCTCCCTTGTTCAGTAGTCAGGGCACTGATCAGGGAATCTGCCATTTTAAGGGCTGTCTCAAGTGCGAAATCCTTCCAGTGCACTGGAACGTTTGCTCCCTGAAAAAGCCCACAATGCACTGCAAATTCTAGGGAGCTGTGCTCACTATGTTCGCTTACCGGAAATAACATCACATTTCTGAAGCGCAAAACATAAACTACAGGAACCAACTCGATAAAAAAAAAAGACACACGATAGAAGATTTGAAAAGACAAACGTTTTTTTTAAGGATATTTCAGCATAAACACCGCTAGACAGGTAATGAACACATCTAGTTAACATTTTATAATTAATAATCAGCTAAAATTTTGTAAGAACATGTTACAGAACAGATGTGTTTAAAGAGAATAAAAAATATCAAAAAGTGATCGGTCCCTCATGTTGTTTATTAAAGGGTTAGTTCACCCAAAAAAGAAAATCCAAACCCGTAAGACCTTCGTTCATTACAAAGCTGCGAGAATACTTTTTTTGTGCAAAGAAAACAATAATAACATAATTTATTCAACAATTCTTCTCCCCGAGTTACCGTCAACGTAATCAGCGTTGTTTACATTCAGTAGGCAGTGCGCGCATGCTAAACGTAAACAACGCTGATTACGTTGATAACGACATGAGGGTGAGTAATTAATGACAGAATTTTCATTTTTGGGTGAACTAACCATTTAATTGCAGTGGTGACGTTTTACTATGTTGTCCGTTGACGTTGTACGTAATCATGTCACCGGAAATTGAGTGGTCACTGTCCCAATATGCAGTGAGCCAGGGCACTTACCAGTGACTTGATTCGTGTACACAGTATACTGATTCACAAGATAGGGAGCTGATTGAGATGGAACCATAATTGGATAAGTTCTGAAAAGAATGTTTTGTCTGTGGTGATTAAGTAATCTGGACAAAATTCATTTTTTCTCTCATAATGTCATTTATTCAGTCCTGTGTTTATCTTAAGTTTCATAAATTATTAAATGAAGCACATTTACTGTATAGAACTTTATACAGTTTGAGGTTTATTGCAATTTTTTTTTTACTACGACCGTCAGTCATATCCTGTAAGATTCATATCTTGTAAGATTCTTACACAACTTTTCCTGTGCATCTGACCTAATGTTCGATTTAGTCACTCATACTGTGTGTTTAATTGTTCCTGTTTGGTAAACTAATGAGTTCTGCTGTGCTAATCCTTAATTTTTAAATGGCTTCCTTTCTTTGTCTCCCTCCCATTTCCTGACCACTTTTTCAACTTTCCTCACCCAGACCTTTGCTCTTAGTCAAGTTTGTTTTTGCATATGTAATCTGATTATCTTCCTTTTAATGTTTGTACAGAAATACCATATTTCATACTTATGTTAGACAAAATCAGAATTTTTTTTTAACTGCAATAAAATAATCCCACACAATATGAAATCAGGATTAAAATATACCACCCTAGGTGTTATTATGTGTGTGTGTGTGTGTTTGTTTGTGAATCAGTGGTTATCATTGTAGCTTATCTCTTAGTCAGAATTATTTTTCCATTGCCAAGATGTGACAGTTTTATTACTTCACTATTTAATTGCCTGACCAGCCAAAGGTCAATTTTATAATACAAGATGAAAAATAAGTGATCTATCATATCAGTATTGTAAAAAAATATGAATTCACTGTTTAATAAATGCATTTGATCTTTTGTAGTTTTTGGTTGTATACACTTTTAATGTTCATTTGATCTCTTTATTCAAAATGCTCTTTGTATTTTGTCTCTTTATTTCCTATTAGTGATCCATACGTCAAACTCTCCCTGTATGTCGCTGATGAAAACCGCGAACTTGCCTTAGTACAAACGAAAACCATCAAAAAGGTGAGTGTTATCCACACTCAGTGACTTGTTTGTGACATTGAAGTTTTAGTTTGTTTCTTAGAGATTTTAGGAAAACTGAATGAACTGAAAGCACACAAAGTAATGAAGTGATGAGATAAACAGGTGATTGTTAAAGATGTCAAAGCCACTGCCACTAGGAGGAGTACTTCCATAGACCTGTGGCAGTACTGCATGGGCTTTCATAGTTATGTCAGGCCTTGAATAATATGACTGAACAGTTGTAACAATTTTAGAAATTCAGGACCTTTTGAATGCATACAGGCTACTTAAAATGAGAGAACATTTTATTTGCAATTGTAGTGTGAACTGGGGAAGAAAATGTGTTTTATTTGCATGGAAACAATGCCAGTCATTATGGTTTTAAAATAAGCTTTTTTTTTTATTTTAAAAACATAATTATATCATATCTTTCTCTTGAGTCTGTAAATCATGACCCAGACATGTTTCATGACATTGACTCTTACAAAGTGCTTGTGGAGGAAATGAGTGTATGTACAGTGACAGTAATGGAATACTAAATTATACTTCCCTGTTTATCTGTTTGTCCTTGGAATGCACACCCAAGGAAATAAACAACGAGCCGAAGAGAAGTCACTTACGATAATGTAGCCAGAAAGAAGTCACCAGAAAGTAGCTATTTAAATGAGGCTTGATGTGACATTCATAGGCCATCTTGAAGCCAAGTGCATGCTTTGTTTTGATGCAAATATATTATAGGCCATACAGATAATTATTAAAAAATAAGTTTTTAGGGGCAGAAAAATAGTTTTGATGCATGTTTAATATTGTTCTTTAGAAAATGTATTAGCATTTAAAAATTAGAGTGATTTTGATAGTGTCAATATCATAAAAATATTCTGGGAAGAAAAAAAAGAAAATGTATGTATATATATATGTATATATGTATATATGTATATATATATGTATATATATATATATGTATATATGTATATATATATATATATATATA